GTCCCAGGCTGCTCCAAGCCCTGTCCAGGCTGGCCTTGGACACTTCCAGGGATGGAGCAGCCCCAGCTGCTCTGGGCACCCTGTGCCAGGGCCTCAGCACCCTCACAGGGAAGAATTTCTTCCTAACATCCAATCTAAACCTGTTCTCTGTCAGCTTGAATTAACAGCATAGATGGGCATTGCCTCAGCATCCAAACATCTTCCAAACTGGGCTGCAGTGAGCATGGAAATCTTGACCCAAGTTTGGTCTGAACTGCTACCAAAAAAAGGATCAAAGCCAAAATGTTCAGCTGCAAATCTGAGCCTTCCTGTGCTTCAAGAGCTGGACTGGGTGTTTCTGTCTGTTGTCCCCTCAGTCACAGCAAGCAAAAAGCAGCCCAGAGGGTGGCCAGGAGACAGAACATCACCTGCATGTCCCCACCTCTTCTTCAGAAGCCAAATAAGAAACATGGAGAAATAGAAACTCATGCCCAGGGAGCAAAGGACATCTAGAACAAAAAACCATGAGGAAGTCTGGGCTTCTTTCAGAGTTCAGATTTTCAGTGTATGATCTCCAAAAAACCCACTTGTGCTGCCTAATACCTGCATCTTTAGTCTTGCTTAAGCCTAAGGGGCTGTCTGGAGTCTGTGGAGTCAAAGCAACTTCACAACAGACTGTTTCACACAGAGCTTTTCATCCCAAGCCCTTTCCACAGTAGTGACCCAGCTGTGTCTCCAGATGAATTTGTTCTTGGCTTCAGCAGCTGCTCAGCATGCTGTAAAATCAGCCTGCTTGTTTAAGAAGCCTCATGTAAATTTAAGAACTCAGCAATACACCCTACAAACAGCCACTCTAGGTTGATTTCTATTTTGATAGCTTTAAAATGGGGATAAAGAAACCTTGAAATTCCCAATATTGGACTGAGTGGGAGGGGTGGGGCACTGGGGCTGTGTGCTGGCAGAGGAGGTGGTCACCTTGTGAGCCCACTGCAGTCTGTGAATTTACACCACTTCAGGTCTGCCACAAATTGTCTGTTGCTGCTACTTTGCCTCCCAACAGCTTCAGTTCTGGGAGCCACAACCACAGTTTGAAGGCATTCAAGCAGTGCTATTCTGATTCTTTCACAAGAGGAAACTGTTTCAAGCATTCACCTCTTTAAAGCAAACCCCAAATATTTGCAGCCCATCCTGTGGGTTTGTTGAATTTTTCCCTGTAGCTACATCTTTCCACTATATATCTGTGCCTGTAGCAATAAAAACAAGGCAATAATTTACCTCCCATGGTTGTTGTACCAAAACTGGATTTTTATCCAAGTGTCTTATCTTCTCCATTCAGAGCCAATGTATCTTATTACTTTGCAGCAAACATGGGCAGAGATGAAAGATTCTCTCATATATTTCCCTTTCTATTAAAGCACAAGACTTTATCCTTCCCTTTCATTCTTCAGTCTCAGGTTTTATTGTTTCTATCTCTGTCACATGTGATTTTGGCTTCTATGTGAACGTGAATATGTGCATTTATCTATTTATCCCCTTTATCACAGCCAAACAAGATCAGGGCCACTTTAAAATACCTGGCCACTGAATGCTGTTTCATCAGATATTCACAGCAGTAACCTTACCATGCAGACTTGGAGTTATGCAGATACCAGAATAAAATATTTTTTAAGACTTTCAATATTTACACACATTCTCTTTAGCCATTTCATATACATGAGTATGTCACACTAGGCAAAAATATATTACCTACAAGGGTCATTTTTTCATCCTAGAAGGATCTGACCAGGCCAAACCCTGCCCATGCCAGCACAGGGGAATAGACCTAGAGGACAAAACCTGGGCAGGACTTGGCAGGACATTTTGGGAGGCTCAGGGACTGCCTAAACTGAATCTTTTTCTCCTCCCCATATCAGCAAAACACAGCCCAGCTGCAGGTAAAGGATTAAAATTCTTGATCATTCAGTAGCGCAGTTAATTATTTACCCCTCTATCTTCTCTCTTCAGATCTCAATTTTTTTTTTTTTTTTTAATCATGGTAAAGGGTTGGGTTTGCTGCAGCCTCAGTGAGCATCATTTCTATCCTGCTGAGGAAGAAATGGGGGTCAGAAAAATAATCAGAGTTCTGAAAAACATTTAAGTTGTAATAGTTCACCTTTTTAATTTGTACTTTGAGGATGGAATGGAAGAGAAGCCAGAAAGATCAGGGTGCCTGAAGGATTAGTACCTGATTTGAGTTTAAAGGAGTAATCACCTCACCTAATTTAGTCTCCTAATGTCAGAGGCTGCATTTCTCTGCATAATCAGTGAAACTAAGTGATGATTCCAAAGGGAGACTCAAGCTGTGCTTCAAACACAAAATTAGAAGTGCTGCCCATCCTTGTCCTGTTCAAATTTTTGTTTCTTTTTCCCTTGGTTCATCTCCCTTTCTGCTTTCCAGAAGGGAGCTGGGGCACATTTCAGCCAGATGCTGCTCCGGCCAGGCAGCAGACAGGGATGAGTGCATCACTGAGCACTCCCACGCCCGCGTGGTCCCTTTCAGCTCATTTGGGGTGAGCTGGAGCCATGGCAGAGAAGCCCTGAAGAGCCATCACTGCACTGATTTGGTCTAAAAGCCGATGCAAATCCCATTGCACAGAAGAAAGCCTGTTAGAGTCCAGGACATCCCTCTGGCTGCCCTGGCTGTCTTGAGACCCTGGCAGGGGTCTCGGAGACCCTGCCAAGAAGTCAAAAATGTCTGTGGCTTTGGTTTCACCCGTGGAAAGCTGCCAGCTCTGGATGAGGAACTACAAGCCACAAGGGGTTTAGTAGTGTGATATTTGAACTAACACAGGGTGGAAAAGTAGAATTTTGGGATTTTTAGAATGGGGTTCAGGGAGGTACAAGATGGAGGAATTTGGGTGTGTCCTGACCTTCTTCTTCTTTGTCTTGTTCTCCATGTCTTGGTGTGGTGGTGACGTTTTTCTATTGGTCCAAGGTAGGGATTCACAGTCTAACATAGATGATAGGAATTGGTGAAGAAATTATAAACATACACACGTTGTTTTAAGTGGGAGCCACCCGAGGCTCAAGGTCAGAATGCCATGGCCTCCTTGCTAGCCAGAGCTCAGCAGGTCAGAGAGAGAATGTTCAGATAAGAAGAAATAAACAACCTTGAAAAAGCACAAACAGAAGCGTTCCAGGCTCCTTCTTTAACTGTGTTGGGCTAGGGAAAAATAACCAAAGACTCTCTACCATCTCTCTTGGGGTCACCCTGACCTAGGAACCCCGAGAGAGGGATCCACAAAAACCCAGAGCTTTGCCATGGATACAGCGTTCCCTGAGCCACAGCGAGTCCACTTTGACACGGCTACTTCACAGTTGTCCACCCACTGCCCAGCTGAAATGGTGGGGCTGGGATGGTGGAACAGGAAACCCAACAGGCAGCATTGCTGGGTGTGATTGCTAATTCACACCTCTAATTAATGTCAGCGGAGTCATCAGTGGTGCAGTCACTTTAATTACATGTGAATGACAGCTACAACAGCTTTGAGAATAAGTACAATTTCACCAGACTGCCAAAAAGGACAGGTCTTGGACATAAAACAAAGCTGAATGTATTAAGAAATAAATTGTGATTAAAATATTTCAATATTAAAATAGATTATATTGCAGTAGCAATAGACAAGATTACCAAACAAACAGGCAACTGTAGGAATAATTAGTGCAATGCTTGTGGTAATTACTTACCAACAATTTCCTGGAAGAAGAAGCTATAAATATTTCCATGGTGGTCCTTAGGCCTTCCAAAACCTTGGGAAGGCACCACCTGTTCTTCTGGCCTTGGCTTCTGGAGAGTTTTAGGAGAAAAATGCACATGAACCACACATGGTGGAAGCTGCAAGACTCTGCCGTGGCCTGGGGACCTGAGGGTGCTCCACCCCTCCAGTGCAAAGACCATCCTTGCCATGGAGCCCACAATGGATGGAGAGTCTGCAAAGGGTGATTTAAACCATGCATGGGCTCAGCCAGGTCATCTCAGGGAGTTTGGGTGCTCCTGTGGTGCTGGTGGTGGCTGTGGTTGGGTGGAATGGTCTGGTTGGACAAACGCCGTGGTCAGAGGAGTCACACAGCAATGAGGGTGAGGGTGAGGGTGAGGGTGAGGATGAGGATGAGGATGAGGATGAGGATGAGGATGAGGATGAGGATGAGGATGAGGATGAGGATGAGGATGAGGATGAGGATGAGGATGAGTCTTGTCAGAGGGGGCCTGTCCGGGCAGCGTGGGGCTGGGGGAGTAGCACAGGCAGACAGGACTGTGGTGCCTCCATCACAGGCAACACACAGCCATTCAATTATAGAAGCACTGAGGCTGGAAAACACCTCCAAGTTCATTCAGCCCAAGCATTAACCAGCACTGCCAAGACCACCACAACATGCTGCAGCACCTCTGTCGCAGCCCAGCTAACTGCAGAGATTTGGAAAGATCCACTGCTGGTAAGGCAGGCAAGTCTGGAGTGCTGTCCTTTTCCTGGCTCCTGACAAGAAGAGGACAATTTCCACTTTCACTTAATGTCTTCATGTGAAAAAAAACCCAACTTCCAAAGTGCAGAGATCAAAACCTGGCTGCAAACAGCATTCTGACACTTCCTGTTAACAACATTGAGAATTTCATTTTTTTCCCTCCCATTAAGAGACATTTTCCTGGCCATTAACATCCCCATACTCCTGTGCAGAAGTGCATTACCTCTAACACGGGAGGGCTGGCAAGCAGCAAGAGATGTGCAGCTCCCTGATGGTTAAATCTATAGGAAACCTCTGGTGTTTAATGAAACCCCTATGGAGACCTCCATATTAGCCATGGTTTAATGTTCTATAATGGCAGTGAATAATTTATCTATAAGCAACAGCACCTCCTGGTTCTCTGGGCATTAGGAGTTATTTATGAGGTAATTTTAACAGTTTCACACTGGCTGGTCATTATGTCACTGAGGGCTGACTGTAGCCAAGGAGGAGAGAAATATTTCCTTATCACTGGCTAAGCAGTAAACAATGACAGGGGGGCACTTGCAAGGGGGTGTGTGCTCAGCTGGGAAGGGACAGCAGAGGGAACAGCTCGACAAGAAACCTGGTGAGATCTCTGCACAGAGCCCACTGCTGGTCCCAGTGCCACCAGCTCTGCCCCAAGGACCCCCTGCAGCTCTCATCTTCCTCCTCCTGTGTCTAATGGCACCTTCCATCTCCCTCTTCCTGTGTCTAATTCCAACAGCTGTGCTGTAGAAGAGGTTAGAGAGTAAGGGGAGTTCTGGGAACAGCCCAGGGACAATGGAGAGGGCTGGAAGCCAGAACAGGGCCTCACATTTTCATCTGCTGTGGTCCAATGAAGGAACATCTACTGCAGCATCTCAGAAAGCTGGCCAAACAAACAGGGGTGATTCCTACAGGTAATTCCTGCCCTTCCTGGAGCACACTGTACACCCACCTGGCTACCACTTCATCTCCAGGTGCGTGCTGCCCCAGGCTGTGGGACCAGAAACCGTGGCCAAAGGAAGGTGAGGGCATGGCCATAAAGCTGTGGCACAGGCTCTCCTTGCAGTGACAGCAGACACAGGACACTGGCACAGGAGGGTGACACCACAGACAAATGGAGAGAGGCAACGGGACAGCCAAGCTGGGATAAGGAGGATGGAGAAGGTGGTCCAACCAACAACTGGCCAGAAGGGATAATGGAAATGGGAGGTGTAGGAATGAAGCAGAAAATTACTAACCATGGAATTGGGAGATCAACAGAATAGAAAGATCAAAACTACAAATAAAAACTAGCAGGAGGTGCCACAGACGAGCACTGTTGTGAGACTGGGATGTCAATGACCTGCTCAAGGTGAGGGCCCTGCTGCCAGGCACAATCTCACTATGTGCCAGTAATGCTCTGGCTTTGGCAGAGCAGCAACTGCTGCCACAAGAAACAAAATAATGAATATTGAAAGCAAACATGTTAACAACCCAGAGGACGGCTGAGGTTAGAAGTGAGAAATGAGCAAGGAGCTGGCAAGAAGAGGCAGAATTTGAAAGCTGATGGTAGTTGTGGCAGCAACACAAGGAGGTTTCTTAATTGAGATTTGTTGGTTTTGTGTTGGTTTTATTTCTTTAAAAAGTATCTTACAGAAAGCCAACAGTAGCACATGAGAAATGGGGCCAGGTCAAAGCAGACTCTTCTTTGCTCCAAAGCTGCAGCATCTTCCTCCAGCAGTGTCCCTGAGGCTCACATCCTGGCTCAGCTCTCTCCCTGCAAAGCACTGCTCAGCCAAACCTGCCAGCTGCAGAATGTCAAAAGTGCTGGTCTTTTAGGGAGCTTCAAGTCACAACTTGTCCTGAGTTTGTTCTCCAAGCCAGAAATTGACCCATCCTCTTTCTTCCAACCTCCCAGAGCTCTGCAGGTTGTGCTAAATTCGATGGCAGGTGTGCTGCTGCACAAAATTGCCGAGCAGATGTGCTCAGTAAGAAGGTCCTGCAGCTAAACCATTTTTTTCAGACTGGAAGTTCACGTCAGGAGAATTTACTTAAGGGGAATGCAACTCCTCAGCTGAAGTTTTTAAAACACATTTGCTTATCACAAGGAGAATCGTCTGGCTTGCTGGATTCAGCCCAACAGAAGTGCTAAAAATAAACCTCGTTTCCACTGTCCTTTTCCCCACATGAAAACTTCCATCACTGTGGAGTTCTGCCCCAAGGTGTCCCCATTCCCAGTGCATCTTGCCAGGTGTGTGCTGTGGAAAACCTTCTGAAACTTTAGGACATCATTCCAGTGTACCATCTCTCATCCTTCTTCCAGCAACAGAAGACATCCATAGCACTCCCAAAAAAAACCCTTTTTCCATAGCCCTATTCACAGAAACAGATCAGACACTTTTGCTGAGTCCTTCAGAAAAGAGACAGACTAAGACAGGTACCCAGCACAGAAAATTTCAGCTTAAGCTGTTTGTTTAAAAGAGGACAAAAGAGTCTTTTAATGAGGAGTGCTGGCCCAGCACAATTGTGCATTGTGGTTCTGGTACATATTCAAGCTGGCCAATATCTGGGCTCAGGGAAGAACTCCATAACATGCAAATAGTTCTGTGAGCCAAAAAATATCAGGGGGGGGGAAAGTGCTATTTTAGATACCAAATCTCCTGACTGCAGTAAGAAACTCAGAGATTTCAGCATTTACTGAGCAGATCAATACCTCTAAACTGAATCCATAAACTTACTGGAGAAAACCCCTCCTGCTACACCACACTATCACTTTTTTTTTTTTTTCTGCCATGGATACTGGCTGAAAAGTCATAATGACCTGAAAATACCAGCTCTAGATTGCCAAAGGATTTTTCTGAGATTATTCTCCATTCTTTCAATGAGAAAGGAACCTGTACAACAGCTTCTAGAGTCAGACACTTCATTTTCTATTAATGGACATTACCTGGTCAGAGACAGGCCAGAGCAGAGTGGACAAGTCCATTTTGCCACTCACCTGAGCCCCCCTCATCCTTTTTACACTGATTCACTCAGCAGCATTTATGTGTTAATTACACTGCTCCATCCTTTTCCCCAGTCTGGCAATTCTTAAAAGCCCCCCCAACATATTTTCTACTGGTAACCTTTACTCACACAGCTCCCAGTTGTCTAATGCTGTGCTTTGAAGCACTCCCCAGACCTCCCCAGGTGTCTGTGAAGCAGCAGAGGGTCTCACAAACACAGACTTTCCTACCCCACCTGTATCAAAGCTGGACTTTCCCATTTACAAACCCAGACCTGAACAAGCAAGGAGCTTCTAGAAACCAGCAAGATTCTCCTGGAACACAGCTGCCTTCATAGAGACTACATTATTTTATCTTATTTTACCCAGATAGAGTAGAAGGCTGAGTCACCTTCCTTTCTCACTGCTTCAGAGAGGAACACTTGGCTAAAAAAGCAATGAGAGAGCCCAAAAACAAAACCCTTCAATATACAAACCCTTGCTTCACCATCCTTTTTCCTTTCCTGAGCACCAAACTGAACAGATGTACCTAGGAGAGTCACTTCCATGTCTCTCCATATGTTTGGCTGAGTACTAACACTTCTCTTCCTTTTATTCTTGTGGGCTTTCTGCTGAAATTCAAGGTAACATCAGGCAGTGAGGGAACACATCCAGCAGCGACGTGCTGACGTCAAAGGTGGGATAGGAGGGATGGCATTTTCACAGGGCTCTGCTTGACAGCAGATACCTGGAACAGACTTGTACTGGGAAGTGATTTCCTGACATTTTCAAATCAAGAGTATTCAGAAACAAGGCTGGAATAATTGCACACTGCTGGGAAGATTTAACCTTAGAGTGGGTTCAGCAAACTCCATTTTCTTCAGGTTTTTTCCTATGATAGCCCAAACAATAGCCCTCTGGTACTTTTAAATGCTTTTAAGTGGTTAGAGAGAAGAAGTTACTCTAGTTGGAATTTCAGTATATATAACTGCAGTGACTCACACTGTGGAAATTATTTATTTACACCTTTAAATTGGGTACTTTTACAAAGCTGACTGCTACTGAAATCAATGGAGATGCTTCAGTGCATTTTAACATTTCCCCATCTGCCTCTGTAAGTCTTCTGGTTTTACAGCATTCCTTAAAATCAGGGGTTTGCCTCCCTTTCAGGCAAGCTACAGGCAGGAATAAGTGAGGGCTAAGATATATTCATGCAATAAAGCACAGATGCTCATTGAACATTTGGAGGGGGAATGAACTGTGTCAGTTTTATTGAGGCTCTTGTGGAGCAGGGTCACAAAGTCCACTGCAGCCCTGCTGTGCTTCTGCCAAGCTCCCCAGAGGTGGCAAAACTCACCTGGAGTGTGCCCAGGGCAGAGACAACTGGGAAAACTTATGTGACACCTTCCCCTCCCAGCTCCAAACTGTTTCCAGCTGAATTGGAGGTGAATTCTGTATACATAGAAACACTCATATTAATTTCCAGGCACTCATGGAATGGGGGGAAATACTAAGAAATCAATGTCAATCCACCCTCCCTCCTATAGCTTTATGGATCTCCACGTCCTCCTCTGCTGTGATGTCATAAAGGGAGTAATAGTGGTACAAATGATCAGACCTATTTAAAAACAAGATATTATGTTTTTTTAAATCTACAGAAACTGCAACAACCCCCTACAGAGTAACATTTGTATAAACTGTGGTTGAAAAGGAACTTTTATGGGAAGTACAGGAGGAGAAAAATCAGTATATTTCCAGCTAATCAGATGAGAACAGTAACTACTATGTAATTATTGCAAGAAAGTTGTTCATCTGTACTCAGGCAAAACTTTGCAGTATCCCTGCTATTTAAATCTGCAATTTGTCCTTGCTGCATATATAAAATATAACCATGACACAAGAACAAATGAGAAATTATGCCTTGGGGGAGAGTAAGTTTAGGCTGGAAATTAGAAGGATTCCAGCAGTAAAAGGAATGAAGTATTTGAGCATCCTTCATCTTGGAGTAGGAAGAATAAAAAAGCCTAGATGTTTTTGTCTAATGTGTCATTAACTCCACCTGGTCCAACACAATAAAGATTTGCAGCAGGCTGTTGTCCTGGCTTGTAGATAAGCATGTGTTCTATTTGCCAGCTGTTGGAGGTTGGGCAGTTTTCTTATCCCTTCCAAGAACAATGTCTCCCTCCAGGGAGATATCTTCTGTTAATGGGCCATTGAATGACTCCCTGCAGGGCTGGTAAAGTTACATCATCCCATGGTGAGATGCTCCACCCAGAGGGAGGAGCCAAGCAGCCCTACCTGCATAAAATCAGCATTTTTTGGGACACCAGGGCAGCCCTTCACTTGATTCCCAGAGGAGCAGCTTTGTCTCTGCTGGATCCCCAGAGGAAGACCAGGCCCATCTACTCCATCACCAGACCTTCAGAGAAAACTCCACCCTTCTACAGATCCCCACTCCAGCAGCATTTCATCTGCCACTCCAGGAGGAGCAGCCACCATTTAACTGGACTATTACCAACACCCTGACTCCTCAGGGTGTCAGGTTTCTGACTCTATCACTAGGTTTTTTTGTACGAATTACTTTTTCTAAATTTTTTTATTTAGTTTTTTCCTAGTAAAGAACATTCCCATATCTTTGCCTGAGAGCCTTTTAATTTTGAAATTGTGGTAACTCGGAGGGAAGGGGTTCACCTTTTCCATTTCACAGGAGGCTCTTGCCTTCCTTCACAGACTCTTGTCTTTTCAAACCAAGACAGCTGTAGAAATTCAAGCTTTTGGACCAAAAACCACAAGTCCATCTGAGCTGCTTGTGAATCCGAATCAATGTGTGGGCTCGTAAAAGCAGCTGAGGGTGGTCTCCAGAGAACCCTTTGAGGACAGAGCTCAAAGCTCAAAGCCTGGCAGGAGCTGGGGCCGCTGCTGGCAGCCAGAGCTGCAGCAGGAACCAGGGATGTGCTCCCATGGGATCTCTGATTCCCAGGGAAGCACAGTCAGGGCTCCCAGCCAAGGTGTGCACACCTGAGAAATTCCACACTGACATTACCTGGGTCAGATAAGCTGAGCTTTCCTTTCCAAAGCTACTAGTGTTCGCTTTTGAGAGAGTGACACTTGGAGAGAAAAAAACAGCTTTTGTTTTTGACCTTCACAACAGGGGGGAGAAGTCCATGTCCAACAAAATAATGTGCAATACCTTTAAAGCTCTGTGTGTGTGTGTTGATTGTAGGGTGGACATTTTGTGGTTTATAATTTTTTTTTTTTTTTGAGCTCTGAAGTAGTTGCAGGCCACATGAAAGCCACCTCCAGCTGAGGCAGAAAAAGATCACAGCAAAGAAGCAGAGA